GGCCAGAGAGATGGAGTTGGCACCTGGTAGAACTCTTAAAAGATCTGAGAGGCGGATTGCTGGATTTGGAAAGGGCACCTCTAATTCAATATTCATGTAACTGGAAAAAGCTGTGCGTCTGGGGTCAGTAACTAAGCCCCATGAATCTGGCAGTCCTTGAGCAGAGGGAGTTGGCACAGGGCGCTCTCTCTTAATGAAGTCAGTGTTGATATAGTCACCAGAGCTGTCAGCTCCTCTCTGCTCCTGTGTGGGCTCTTCTGGTTTGGGCTTGATTTTGTTTCCTTTTGCAATAAAAGAAAGTCGGTTAGGTCTCTTAGCCTTGTTCACTGGGGGCTCGTCATCTGAAGGCTTTGCAGGTGACTCCCTATCTCCAGGTTTTGAGAATGAGCCCTCAGTGGAAGGCTTTGAAGACACATCTTTGGTGCCCTGGCTAAAGGAGGCTTCTTTGTCTACACCCCTCCCCAGGAACTTCCCAGGCAACATTGGGACATACTCACTGTGGTCGCTCTGTCCCAAAGGTGAACTCTGAAAAGGACTCGGCAGAGAAAAGTAAGAGCTCCAACTTTTGGAGGAAGAGCCTCCCTGAGGATTGGGGGGATTTTTAGGAAATGCACCTGCTCCAGGAGCCATAAACATGTAGTCACTGTCACTGTCATTGTCCTTAGAGTCATCCTCTTTATTAGTATCCGGTGCTTTGGGGGGACTTGGGACAGGTGGTGGTGGACTCACTCTGGGAAACATCATCATATATCCTCTGGAATCTTCGAATGGTGACCTAGAGTGGCGGCTTTTTGATTTTGAGGTGCCATTGGCATGTAGTCACTGGAACATGCAAGAGGGGAAGCCACCCCTGGCCTCATTGGCACGTATGGGTCATCCTCGTCTTCATCGAAAGCTCTGGCTCTGTGAGGCCCCCGGGTGGCACCTTCTGGAGTTTCCCTATCTCTCCTCTCTTTGGCTTCTTTGCGTTCTTTTGTGGCCCCTCTGTCTGCACAAAAATAAAGTCGGAATCTTCCCCCAGACTTGCTTTTTCCACCAGTTGCTCCTCCGGCTGGCGGGGGTGGAGGAGGAGGTGGAGGCAGCATTTGCTGTTGCTTGCTTTGAGTGAATTTACCAAAGTATGATCTTTTCTTCAGAGATTTTCCACGGTCACCGTCATCCGAGTTTTTCCCACTTCCTGAGCCCTTGCCTCCTCCTGAGTTCTTGCCGCCACCTGAGCCATGACCATCTCCAGGTCTCCGGCCACCACCTGAGCCATGGCCACCACCAGGCCTCTGGCCTCCACCTGATCCATGGCCACCTGCTGTGCCCTGGCCATTTCCTGAACACTGGTTTCCTCCAGCACCCTGACCTCCTGAACCCCAGCCTCCTGAGCCCTGGCCACCTCCAGATCCCTGACTGCCACCTGAGCACTGGTTTCCTCCTGAGCTCTGGCTGCCGGGGCCCTGGC